AGTGCAGAAAATGATTTGTAGACCAAAGTCTCTAAGGAATGCAGAGAAGCTGCAGTCTGACAGCTTTAATCTTTTGGTCACAACCTCATGATGAAAAGACACCAAATGTCAAGAATGATATTTGATTGTAGAAGCACCCAAAATTGGAGACACTCATTTCTGTACATGACTGATTAACGAAAATGAAGACCATCGTGATTTGATCCCAAGGGAAAAATTCCAGCAAAAGGGAAAGAGGTCTTAACTGCAGCACATTTGGGATTCAATGATCTGAGCACTGAGGCAAGCAGAAATACCTTGTGCAGGGATAGGACAATTGACAGTTCTAGAAAAGGAAAATAAATAAGAGGTAAAAATAATTTAGAGCCAATTTATGCTTTTCTTCTCCTGTCACCAAAGATACAGTGTTCAGCCTGAGATCTCCTTCACATATTCTGCAGCCCATGATCCAGAGAGATGAACAGTGAATCATGTCCTCCGCTGTCAATATGTTCTACTTTAAATTCAGCCTTTAGTACATCCAACCACATTGAGTTTTGAGGTGCATTGGCCTGCAGAGCATCTCCATTATTACTCTGTTGCAGAAAGACCTCAGAACCTGGCCTTGATGTTTTATTTCTTTTTTCTCCTCATTCTATGGGAGTATCATTTCTGTTTGTGCTATAGCCCTATGGCAACTTGTTAAACAATAACAAAATTGTATAACAATGTATCAATGCAAAGAGTATGCTAGCGTGCCTCACTGTCTCATGCACACTCTAGGAAAAGATAGCAATCATGAATGCTACCATACCTAGCCAAAATGGCACAATGTACTCATAACCCAAGCGGATCTAGCTCACTGCATTTGCAGATAATTCTGAAACTGAACTGCCAGTTAATTTCTAATTTAGTTTCTACAGATGAAAGACTTGGTGACTGGCCCCACTTACTCAAACTACAAAAAACTGCGCCAAAATTTACTATTCTACAGTTCCAGGAAAAAGAGAAGCTTAGAAGATGGTAGAAAATATTTTGTCTCCCCTTTTGAATTTTCAGACCTTAGAGTATGTCTTAATTTCCTCTAATTACTTCATTAGATCAATCTCCACTTGCAAAATGCAATGATTTTTGGCTGACTATAAAATAATCCCTTTCTCTAGTATGGACAGCAATAAATAACACTCACAAGGAAAGGTTACATTTTATTTTCTCATCAGTGCTTGGAAGCAGTTACTTTAAATTCTAAAGATCAGTGACAGAGAGGATATTTTGAATTAACAGATGCAATATGAATACTCTTTAATCTTCAATTTAACCTGTAAATACAAGCACACAATCTCGATATATTCCGTTTATATGCATCTCAGTGCTAATAAAAATACCTACAGAGAGAGATGCAATAATAATAATAATAATAAATCCCTTCCAAAAGTGCAAAATGACACAGAAGAGTCATAATGAGCTATTACACTGCAGAGTCTTGTTTCAATTACCCAGAAGATAAGGATGACTTGAAGATTTTGTCATTCAATTGCAAATTAAAGCATCACTTCATATGCAACAGGATCAGGCACTGAAATCACCTGTCAGGAGTTTGACACTTATAAAAGCTTCAGTGTTTGGAATTCATCATACCTTTTCCCACTGACTTACACACATTGAGGAGAATAAACTGCTCATTCAGCCATTAAGGTCTCAATGAAACTGTTGGTCCAGACTGAAATATTTTCATAAAAATGGAATGAGGAGAAGGAAGAGGGAACTCCAACCACATTATTTAGCTTAGAATCAATAATCTTGCACTCAATGAACAAGATTTAAGGAACTACAATTCCTTATGGCCATGCTTATTACAAAAATTAGTTAAGTAAAATGTCACCACTCAAGTTATACAAACTGATTTGACTACTATGGATTGTATTCTGGTGTAATGTTCTTGGGAATAAGTAATCATCACACATCTGAGTGACTTTAAAATCTTGCTCTTTTACAACGGGCAATTTCTCTAAAGTCAAGACCACTCAAACCATTCACATGACAACAGCCTCTTCTGAGATGAGGATGCATTCCATCATTTTGTCAGTTGCTACTGCCACTTTTTCTATAAAAATATTTAAAATGAACTGAAACAGAAAACTGAAAACAAGCCTTTTATCCTTTACTGAATGTTTCCCAAGCAGCTCTTCTACCAAAATAACCATCCTGCTTTCACTCAAAAGCGCGTATATAAATCTTTTCATGTATTCTGTAATGACTTCAAAAGCGGATACTGTGAGAATTCAAACTACAAAATATTCTCTTATCTGGAATTTAGAAAGACATGGCCTAGTCTGTCTTCAAGTGCCCTCAAGCAAATGTAGGATTTTATATTTTGTCTCCTTTAATCCAGATGATTTCTCTAACTGTTAGAAATGGAAGAAATGAAGCAAAGACAAACCCTTCTCTAATGACTCATCTTTACTTGAAGTGTGACAGACAAAAATATGTAGGGAAATCTATACCTAACCTTTGATTCTCAGAGTCCTGAGTTATCTTTAAGTTGAAGAAAATACTTGCTGGATTTTATCCCTCCATTCCTCACTGATATCATAGAATCACAAGGTTGGAAAGAACCTACAAGATCATCTAGTCCAACTGTCCTCCCATCACCATTACTACCACAAGCTGCTAAACCATATCTCATAGCTCCTCATCCAGACATCTCTTTAACACTGCCAGGGATGGTGACTCCACCACGTCCTTGGGCAGGCCACTTGTTTGCACCACGTCCAGTGCTTGACCACTCTCTGAGAGAAAAAGTTCTTCCTTATGCCTAACCTGAACCTGCTCATTGCCTGGGAGAAGAGGTCAAAACCCTTCTCATCACAACCTTTCTTCAGGAAGTTGTAGAGTGCAATGAGGTCTCCTCTGAGCCTCCTCTTCTCCAGACTAAACAATTCCAGCTCCCTCAGCCGCTTCCCATAAGATTTGTGCTCCAGACCCCTCACCAGTTTCGTTGCCATTTTCTGGACACATTCCAGGGCCTCAATACCTTTCTTGTAGTGAGGTGCCCCAAACTGAATGCAGTACTCTAGGTGTGGCCTCACCAGTGCTGAGTACAGAGGGATGATTGTCTCCTTGCTCCTGCTGGCCACACTATTTCTAATGCAGGCCAGGATGGCACTGGCCAAACAACATCAAGGGAGCAGACAGATTTCAAAGCATATATTTTGAGACTGAATATCTTTCTTGAATTATGGCCAAAACTACTCTACAAAATCCCATTTAAAATACCTGTGAAATTCAGCCATGCACCGGAACATGAACAGAAGAGAAATTGCTGTCAGTTGTATCATGACCAGCAGTGCTATATCATATTTTCAATGTCAACATTAAAAAGAAAACTTTTTAGATTAAATCTGACAAAAAAAAAAAAAAAAAAAAAAGATATATTACTATAAAAATAGTATAAACTGCTTATACAAATTACTTAGTGAAACAATAGTAGAACTATACCAAAGCCATGAAGGTTTCCACTCATAATTCCAGAAATCTCAGGGGCTAACAACAGCAAACCTGAAATCTATAAACCAAAGAAAAATACTGTAACAGTTTTAATAACAAAAGTGGACTAGATTTCCTATGTATCTGTTCAGGCCCTCTGATTTATCTCTTGAAGAATAGTCCATCACAAAACTAGCAATCATACATCATACTTGAAGGCACAAGACATAAGAAACACCTTACAGAAAATAAAGTACTCTTTCTCACCAGAAAAGTTTTATTTACAATGATGAAGCAACACAGATAATCTTTTTATCTACATTCTGACAATCTACAGTCCAGTCACTCCACCATAGTGGACTCTGGCTTGAGCAAGCAAAGAATTACAAAGAGAATAAAGTGGAAAGACATAACTCTCACCATCTTCCCAATGTCCCATCAGCATTAGCAGTATGCTTAGTCCAGAATGGGAGAGTAACTAATATGAGATGAGTATATATGGATTTGACCACACCTATCTCAGTATGCCCTATTGAACATCTTGCAAAGTTCACACATCATTTGCAAGAGTAAGTTCTTTCAGTTTTCATTAGGAAAAGGACAAAGTCTGTTCAAAAGAGTGTTCAGTTTCTTAACATGTTAGACTTCACCAAAATATTTTCTGACTTCTATTTTATGATGTCAAGCCTCATGAAATAAGCTAGAAATAAATTCAAAAAATTAAATCCACAAAAGGTGCAAGCTGATGGCCAAGACCCTTGGAAAAAATCATCATATACTCAGAATCCTCTGATGTGTAGTACCCCTCAGGCAGAGAAGCAAAGCTCACAAATGCACTGTACTACTCTCACAGGTCAGACTTTACTGCAAGGGTAAGCTTTTATCAGTAAAGACTTTTAAAACCATTGTGCCTGATGTTTTGACAGTTGTCGTAAATTATGAGGATTCACATTTCCAAACAGGATTTTTTTCCCCTAAAGCTACAATGAACACTGAATTTTCCATTGAGAATGAATAAGAGAGGAAAGGGAAGTTCTGCATATCACTGTGTAACTAATGAAAGAAAGAAAGAGAGAAATAGAGAAAGATGGAAAGAGAGAGTGAAAGAGTGATGGAAAAAGAAGAGGGAGGGAGAGAGGAAGGGAGGGAAACGAAGAATATACAAACCAAAAAACTCTGAATGCTGGCCATGTAAGTAAAAATTCATAAGAAAAAAAAAAGTCAGAATTTTGCTAGCAGGAAAGTAACCCTTCTTTTCTCATTCTTACGATGATTTTTTTTTTTGAGCCTTTCTCAGAGAAAGAGCCAGTGGTACTCCTAACAGTGCAACAGTTTTAGGAAACAACATTGCCTATTTCATGACATAGTAATGAGCCACAGAGAAACAGATCAGAACTATCACAAAGTCAACAACTACATCCAACACAGTTACTTTCCTGGTTTTTCCTATACTTTTCCTATACTTCCTTTACTATTACTGAGTGCAGTGTATCAAACAACATTCTACTTGAGACCTTGGTAAAGAAATATCTCACCTTCACGTGATCAATCACATAATTCAGGAATTGATAGCAATGACAGCATGAATTGATGACTCTCTTCACAGCTTGTCTTCAGCAACGTAAAATGAAGGAAAATAAAAATCAGGAAATCAGTTCATCATTCAGAGGAAAAAAATCAACATAATGAACAAAACAGAGGCATGGTTGAGAAGGCTGATCATAATTTAGCTCATTCCTAAATATCTGATTGACTGATGAACTCTTTCCAAACACCTTTCTGCTCTGGTGTTTTATGGAGAGTTTTTCCACGTGTCTGTTCAATTGGAGGAACAAATTAAGTTAAAACTCAACTTAAAGGTAATTTTGGATCTCAAGAGAGGGCTCAGAATAATTTAAAAAATAAAATGAAAACAGCAGGTATTTACCATTCTCTGGAGGAAGTACACCAAAATGTTCCAGAGGAACATTTCAGAACACATGCTGACCTATGGATGTGTAGGATGAGAAGCTTCAACTAGAAATCTTGTGAGAATTTCAAATGTCTACAAATTGCAAGTACTACATAGCAAACAGTGTGTATAACTGGTTCAGTTTCACAGTAGCATGTATCTCCAACATCGCTATAATCATTCTGAATCTTGGAAAATATGAAGACAATTCTGAGAGCTGTACTGCATATGAAATTGACTTTTATTATTGGCTGTGAGAAAACAAAACATTTTATTGATTTTTCTGTATTTTTTCTTACTGTTAGGTATTATCTGGGAAACATTTGAAAGTATGAAAATATGTATTTATCTGTGCTGCGAATTTTTTCACTTATATAGATCTGTATATTTTCTTGTCACAAATACTGTCCAGACTTCTCAAAATGTATTTGAGTTTAGGTTCTGTTAAAAAAGAATTATTTATTTCTATAGAAAGCAAATATTCCACTACAGAAGTGAAAGAATTTACTCCTAAAACAAATAAAAGAAGAAAAAAGCCCAACAACATAGCTACACAAAGGGCTAACAGTCCAAAAGTTTGTGAGGAAGGCAGTAAATTTAGTAAATTTAGCTAATTGTATCCGGTTATATCTCTTCTGCAGTTGCCCAGCGTTTTAATAACTATGGGTTTGTAAATACACTTGAAGCAGTAGGCAAAAATAGCAGTTAGAAAAGCAGGCAGGTCAGAGGGAAGAGAGGAGACACTAAAGTATTTTGTTCTGTTTGTATTATATACAAATAATGTCTTATAGTTAAGTATTTATGAATGTATTAAGTATTTAAAAATGTATTTAAGAATAAGGCAAAGCATGGAAAGCCTTATCATTTAAAACTCTTTAGATATTCTACAAGTAAAAATCTTTGACTATATAATTGAACGTGCAAATTCCAAGAAAGAAGATTTTCTAAGACAATCTGTATCTATCTTATTAAAAATAATCATGCTTCCAAACACACATAACACTTAGGTTAGCACAAACTAGTAGACATCTTCATAGCTACACCTTTACTCTTGATTTGTAATACTTTCTTTGATCAGATGATTGACTTCACGTATTACTTTCCTTTACCAATAATTTCACTCCAGATTTACTCCCTTTGACTAGCAGCACATACAAACATTTTTCTGAATCTACAGCTCAGATATGATGACTACATACAAAAAGTCACTGAATGATAAAAGATTTTGTAACTATTTTTCATATGATTTTCAATAGCTTTGGATTTCAGTTTGATTGTATCAACATAGAATCTAATATTAGCATTAACTTAAGGATATAAAATAAAAAATGTCCAAAAACATTATATAATTATTATATAATATATAATTATATTTATATAATATATATAACATATATAATATAATATATATTATTATATAATATAAAAGTGATAAAACCTCACTGTGGGACAACACTTGTTCTTGGAAATATAGGACAAACAAACAAGTGGAAAAAAAAGGCTTCCTATAGAGTAAACTAATTTTTGCAACCAGATGTATTTGCTGGCAAATTTAGGTGAAAGGAAGGCCTGTAAATCCAGACAATAATAAGAACCTCAGTAGTATTGAAGCGATGCCTTTCAACAAGGTAAAGCTAAATGGGGCAGTGACTCAAATACATCCTTGCAGGTATTTGACAAATATTTCAATCTAGCCATTACTAAAGAAGCAGGTTTGACTTATTTTCATCAGCACTTCTCTTCCCATCTCCAACAGTTCTCTACACAGCAGATATAAAGCTGTTTGAAATATCATGCCTTGTACTAATTGATTTAATACAGACTTGAAGAACTTCAGTGAAATTTAATGATATTCAATTATGTGCAATAGATTTGTTTCCTACCTAGCTCTTGCCTGATCAGCTCTTTTTCCTAGACACAATCAAGTACATACACAGACGTTTTGTTTCACAGTCATTTTATTGGTCTCAGCAGCAATTTAACTCCCATACTTTATCCGCTTCTCTAATCATTAAACCTCAGATAAGTATAATAGAGAAGGGGATCATTCACAATTTTGGGTGCTGACTATTGTCCATATACACAAGGAAAGACAAGGACTGTGAATAAACATAGAATGTAACTTAGTATCACTGGACTTAATTAATCTTCACAAAATTTTCTTATGGATTCCTTGGAGTTTATCTCTATTTTGACAGAAATTTCTAGTTCTCTTATTAAGCTGTCATTCTTCCATAAGCTTCTCAAAAACCTAGATCATTTAAACTGTCATCTGTCTTGCCATTTTGTTACATAAGGTCAGACTTGTTCAAAAAGAGTTTAATTGCAGGAGCCATATAGACAATTGCAGTTTTTCTCGAGAGGTGCATATACCAAATGCTACAAACTCTCCAACAAAGTCAACCAATGCTTTGTAGCAGCCAGAATTACTCTTTGCTAGCACAGGATCTAACCATAAAGTCATAGTAACACAGGGTCACTTTAGTAACCCTGTCGTCAAGAAGAAAAGGAATTGAATAACAAATCACAAGTAAAAAAATGAGATGTGTCAGAAGACACTTCAATATGTAGATATACCTTCAGAAACATATGCCAAAATAGTACACCTAAAGACATACCATTGAACTTCTGTCTCAACTGGAATAGTACTTTTCTGACACACTTGTAGATAGTACAGGAAGCAGATGCAATACCTAAGGTGATATAAACACCTTTTCCATACAAATCAATTAAATTTTGCTCCTAAATAAAAAATGCAGCCTAAAGAAAGTTTGAAACATGTTGATAACTTCAAGATAATCATTAAGATAACTTAGAAATACCTTAGCAAGTTATATAAACTCTTGACTCATCACCAAAGAGATTAATAACAGAAGTTCTGCAGTTCCTTTACAGTGAAGTATGAATTTCACTTTTGAAAATAGTCTCCTGCACAAAGAGAGTAGAATCACTAGGTTTGCCCGGAGAGGTTGTGGATGCCCCACCATGAAGGTGTTCAAGGCTAGGTTGGATGGGGACCTGAGCAGCCTAGTCTAGTATTCAGTGTTGAGGTTGGCAGCCCTGCCTGTGGTGGAAGGGTTGGATATTCACAATAGTTGAGCTCCCTTCCAAACCTAGGCTATTCTGTGATTCTGTGATTAGATATCCCTGCTGGTAAGTCATCTAACAATTAGAAACTAATACATCTCTATTCTTAACAGCGATATGCAATTGCTTTGACTCCATGTGTCTGGGAACAGTAATTTTAAGTGTCTGTGTAAAAAGACGTTTGAAATTCTTAAATATTTCTGAGAGATAAATCTACATCAATGGAGACAGAATTTGAAGCACTTTTGAGGATGACTGTTTGCTAATTGACAATTCTTAACACAAAGCTTGATCTACACCTGAAATGTATTGTTATTATTAAACAAAAAAATACCACTACAGTTAATCACCAGTAATATGCATCAGCTGAAAGATAATACACCCTGTTTTTGGAATAAATAGAATATATATTTTTTAAAAAAATTTCAAACATAATTAAAATAAAATATATCAATGAAAATGCATTAAGCCCTCACCTGTGACAGCTTTTATTTTTGCATTTGTAAAAAACCACAGGATTCAACAGGAAGTAAAAGCTCACATGTACAAATATTTGCAATTTTCTTGCTGACAGAAAATGATGCACCAGAAGTAAGTATTTTCTTAAGGCATATTGCAAGACATATATTGCATTTTCACTTCTAGAGATGGAATTTCAGCTTAGCACTAAAGTTACTCGTAAAAATTACAAATACTGGTATACGAAAATATTTCATTTGAATTTTTTTCATGAATGTCTCAATTCTAAAATATGTACTATTTAAATACATTTAGAATTTATGTTCCTAATTTTTATAAAATTCATTTGCATTTTCCACAAATGAGAAAGAAATCACGTTTTCATTTCTGATCTTTTTTTTTTTTTTTTTTTAATTCCTGAATTCATTTTTATAATAAAAAGTTTTATAAGTAATACTTCTTAAGGAAATGAAGGAAATTATATCAAAATAAAGGTTCCCTTTCATTTTTCCTTAGGAACATTTGTTGTTTTACAGAATTGCAAAATTTCCACAAAATATTTTCTTTGATATCATTATCTTTGTTAATAGACATGTTCTATTGACAACTGCAAAGAAAAATATATATGCCATCTATAACTGTTCACAGTATTTTTCTGGATTTAATTAAGAATATAATCTTCAAACGTTTTTGTTCTCATGAATGATTTGTCAAGATAAAACTTTAGTTATCTGTGCTTTTCATAGCATTATTTGTATCACAAAATAAACTATTCACTTACAAGATTTTAACGAACAAAGATGTCCATCAGCCAGTACAGCAATTCCAGAAGTAAGAAATAGCATGGGACATGGTTTAGTGGGAGCTATTGGGAATAGGTGAATGGTTGGACTGGATGACCTTTTAGGTCTTTTCCAACCTTGGTGATTCTATGATTCTATAACTATTACTTCTTTTTCACAGCTGTAATATGTCAGTCCTCTGCTCCGGTATATGTAACAGAAAATACTTAAAGTATTCTTGGGAAAATTATTATACATATGCATATTTCAATAGAGAAACTAAACTTGTGTTAAAAAGATAGGGCACTCTTTTCTTCGCATGCAGTGATGTATATAATATCCCGTATACCATGGTATTTTTGGCAAGGTAGCTTAAACACTCAACATCATAAGATCATTTTAAAACATTCAGTTTAAATTCTTCCATAGAATAATTATCTGCCTTTTTTCCACTTTTTTTTTTTTTTTTTTTTTGCTTGCTTCCTTATTAGAATTGGAAAATGAGTAAACAGATCTCTCAGCATGGATATGCAGAAATGTATTGGTTTTGCCCTAGAGCAACATGACAGAGCTTCCCTACAGGTAGGAACTACCTTTAGCTCTCATTAAACAGCAGCATGAGCTGAGACTGTGTGACAACCTGAATATGCATCCTTCCATTTTCTCAGTTAAATTCAGCCATGGACTATGTGAGCAATTATTTCTATT